AATATAAAACAAATATACTTATTTGGAATATATTTATGGTCATTTCTAATCTTAGAAAACAAGAGGAAGGAAAAAATCACTCAATAGACAGCTAGAAGACAAAAGAATCCTTTTTTTTATAAAATATTCATTCATTGTTGCACATTTTCTTCCCTTCCACGTTACCTAGTCCATGACGCAATGAATCTCTTTTTCCAGACTGCTGTCATACATGTAATACCTAATCATATTTCTTTCGGACCATTCATTCCCTCATCTGTTACAATGCAGTGTTCTTTGTCTATACACTTTTTCCTATTCTATCCTCAAACTCCTGTGTCAGTCCTATTTTCTAACAGCAGTTATACAGTATACCTCAATCGCCAAACATCTGAAACCTGCAGAGATATTTAAACCATTTAGTGTCATATTCCTTTGCCAAAATATTATAAAACTAGATAAGACAAAATTTAGTTACCAATTACAAAATTCCATATAAATTGTTATTTGACCAAATGCAACTACTACAAATAGTCTTTCTAACATACTTATTAAGTTAGAAACATGTTGAACAGAAAGACTTTGAATGGTAATATATTAACATTCAATAGTTCATTATGATAGTAGCCAATTACATAAATTAAATAACTAACTTGGTCTTCAAATTTGTTTATATGAGTACTTACAGGTTCAACCACTGCTGGTTCTCCTTTTTGTCCTTTTTCTCCATATGCTCCATGGCCATTTATCTATTAAATAAAAGTCATAATAGTCTCAATTTCTGTAAGTAAGTTAAGATTATTTTCAAACTTCTAAAGAGAAAAAAATTAGACATAGGAGCATATTTGAAACAATCTGTTAAAATATATGTCTAGGTTGAAAAAATGCTATTAGAGATTTAAATAGTGCAAACCTTAAAAGTAATGCATATTTTAAAATACTGATTTTTTTTTAAATGAGATAATGAAAATGGCAAGATAAAGGCTCTTTACACTTTAAGTAATCATTTCACAGTAGTTAAATTAAATAAAACAGCATAAATGTCAGAAAATAGACAGTATTCAGAATAATAATTACAAATAAATCTTAAAAATAAGATGACATAGGTTTCAATTCTACTAAAATTTATACTGTAAAATTGAGTCCAGTGTTTCTGGAGATTCAATGGCTGAAAATCTCCCAAGAGAAAGAATTGATCAAGGTATTCTATGGTAATAACTATTCAAAATTTACAAGTGAATCATTGTTATTTTACGTATTGTTGAGTCAAAAGCAAATCATAGCTGACACCAACTTTGGTGGTTCTTAACTGCAAGCCTTTAGATTGGCAGTACAATTCCTTGACAATAAGACACCAAAACCCACTTTTTAAAGAAAAGAAAAACCAAAACCAAAACAACATGTGCATAAAAATGCACCAAACATAACATAGAATAACAGAATGGAATACCGACTTACGCTTGTTTCAGTGATATCAGTTTCTGCTGGTACACCTGGACCAAATTCTTCAATAGTGGGGCTTGTTGGTTTCTCTTCATATTCTTTATATTCATAAAAATCATATTCACCTAAATCTCCATCTACCAGAAGGTCAGAGTCCCTGCCGTCTATTTCTTTGTTTTCATATAAAGTATCCTCAGAATTTTTCCTCTGGGAATCATAATCCTCTCCAGTTAGATATTCTTCAGTAAATACATCTTCAACTGGATTTGGCTATTAATTTAAATTATAAGGAATTGGAGAACATGAAGTTAACTGTTAGTAAAGCACGGTGAGCATTTGCAATTACATTTTGTTTTATGTCATGGAAAGTTCTGTTATACTTACACAAGCCAGTCATATTGCGTTGCTTAAGGCCTGGAAAACCAGCCTTTCAGGACAAAATGAAAGAAATACATTTGTACATGCATTGATATGTACAAATAAATATTGCTTTCAAGGTAGTTTTCAGAATGAACTACAAATATTCACATGGACCAACATGTGTATTTGTTTGTACAATTTAAAAAAGTGCTAGGTAATTTGAATTTTACTTCATAGATTAATATTAGGACAAATACGCCAACAGTTCAATCCTTGCTTAATTTTGAAATCTCAAACTACATATTGCCGTAAAGTACTATTATTACCTTAATAAAATGTTTATGTTTGACTTTTAAACTACTTTATTCAATTAATAAAGTAATAATGCTAAATATACCAGTATTTATTATTCCTATGATAATTCATATCATAGATAATTTAGTATGTAGGTAAGGAGTCTTTCTTCAGATTACTTAAAAATATGAGTCTATTAATTTAAGGAAATGAAGTAGAATATAGTACAGAATCCTATATAGAGAAGAAAATATTCACTTAAAAAGAAAGGTTGTGTTAATAATAATAATAATTAAAAAATAAAGTAAATATTACATAATTCTTCTGGATATGTATTATACAAATTATTTAGTATTAAGAATATGGATAAATATAAATGAAATGTTTTAGTCTTTGCATTTTATTTTTTAAGTTATTTTATATAACTCACTGAATGTAAATTACAGTTATATTGAAGAAATATGTAGCATAACATAAAATAATATGAATGAAAATGAGTATAAAATAATAATTTAAGAAAATCTCAATTACTTTAATATTTAGACTCACAGAATTTTGGGAATAATAATCAATCCAAAGAAGAATAATATTCAGATGTCAAATACTACTTTTCTATCTTTAAACTAAAGAGGTAGAAAATTTTGGGTAACTAAATAAAATTTTTCAATCAAGA